TTTATCCTTCTATTTGCTGTGTTACGGGATAAAATATAGACTATGTGCACCGCATATGATGTAGCTTCTCGTAGGTGAAAGAATTTTTAAAATAGGTCCAGTAGTTTTGGTGCCTATCCGTTGCAAACAAACAAATAATTTTTTCAACTCAATTTTTTCCGCTTTATCACAAGCATTAACAATTAACTGCCTCATCAAATCTATCATTCATCAACTATGGTTTTGTCAACTATGGCTTATCAACTGTTTTGTTTTTTGTTAAGTGGGTACTCTAGCAATAAATAAAACAATAATACCATTACTCTCGTTCCTAACTTTGTGTCACCGAAGAGTTTTCGGAATTTAGTCGTTTTTTTACATTGTTGCTGTTGTGTAACCGGGTTAACATATCCTGTTATTTTCTATCATAGTGGGCGAATATTGTTTAATTTGAAATTATAGTGTTTGCTCATTGTTTGTGATTGCGTAAGTAAGTTCTTCAAGACCATGTCATACCTTTCGCTCCGTTCATTGGTGACGACTTTATATTAATGTTTGACTACGCACGTTGCCATACCGCAAGATTCGTCAGTGGGTACCTTAATGATTATTCGGTATTCAAGTTTTACCATAGTCCGCACGCAGCCCCGATCTTAACCCAATAGAGCACATTTGGGCCAACCTGTCAACAAAAGACGTGTCCGAGCAAGAGTAACAGTCCTTACAACTATAGTAGAGCTTAAATGGCAGCATTAGAGGAGTGGCATAATATCTCCGACCGGATATTTATAAAGGCCAGAGGGGGCAACATCCACTATTAATTTTATTTTTTTCTTTTAATTGCCCCATTATTTTCAAAACCAAAATTTCTTTCCCCAATTTCTGCGAAGTATACGTCTGTGAGTGTATTAGTATAGAAAAAATATAACTAATATTATAAAGAGGAAAGGTTTGATTGTTTTTTCCACTCATAGAGTTTCCATTGAATAGGCTTCTTTCACCTACAGGACACGTCATTCGAGGGTAACAAAGGCTATTTACGCGTATAAGAAATTATAACATTATCATAGTAACCATTGTTTTCTATTGAATTATCTGTATCATTAATTATATTACAATATAAAACTGTGTCATAACATGAATCGATATAAAATTATTTAAATTTACACAGGAGTATATAGATTATTATTTGCTAATATTATTTAACCGAGTAGCTGGGTGGCATAGTGCATAAGTGCCGCGACCCGCGATCGTTGTCGTTAAGCAACTTTCGATAGGGTCAGTCACGGGATGGGTGACAAAAAATTATTATCTCGAGCTACTCCGTGCTTCAGAAGGCACGTTAAGCCGTTAGTCCCGGCTGCATTAGCAGTCGTTAATACCCTCCAATCCGCATTGCGCCAGCGTGGAGGGTCATGGCCCATCCTCCTTAACCATCCATAAGGAAGGCCTGAGCCCCTGCAGTGGGGACGTAAAAGGGCTGATGATGATGAATATTATTTAAATTTGTGAGTTTGAATGTTGGATTTTGATGGAATTTGGTTTATATTCACTAAGCCTGAATAAATATTAGGTTAGTTTTTATTCCGTTAAACAGTTCCCAAGTGACCAAGCAGGCGAAGCCGCGGGCAGAAAGATTTTTTTTAATACTTTATACTCAACTTAAGATAAACAATATTCGCCTGAATAAGCTCCACTGCACTCCAGCTCCACTTAATATTAATAAGGAAGATTTTTTTTTCTATTAATTCATTTTTGTCTTGACGTTCTATGATTTCACACAATAAATTAAAAGCCCACAAAAAATATTGTACGCAACAAGTAAACTAATTCGTTATTTTGTTAATTATGTCAAATTTTCGAATAAAGTTTTTTGCCTACATATACACATAATCGACGTTGGATGTTTTAGAAAATTACTTCATTTTAGTATTCCATAACTTTTAAATAACAATAGTGAATATCCCACCCTAATTAAACGAAAATACTACCAGCAAATAAGGTATGCATAGTTCCAGTCCCGATCCCAGTGAACCGATCAATTGAAGAATGACCTATTCGGACACAGGTGGGTTCCGAGTTCCAACAAACGTGCGACGTCTCATTTTCGACATGTCTTCGTCTTCACAAGTAGATAAGGGTCGCCTATTTAATTAATTACATGGAACAGTAGATAGATGATAGTACACAACTATATATGAGATACCGAAAGTAAACCATTTTCACATGCAGAAAATTTCCAACTGCATTTTAAAAAATCAAATGAGCGTATAATTTATTAAGTGTGATGTAAAATGTTTATGATAAACGATTACAGTTGTTATTTTTTTTTCGAATTCAATATTTTAATAGTTTATTATTCTATCATTGATTTCATTTCCTTAATAATTATATCATTCAATCATTATATTATTATCAACCCTACACTTTATTCGTTTAATATATACCACTAGACATTGCACACTACTTCAAAATATTTGTCAAATGTATTGCAAGACAGAAAATGAAGGTTATTCATGTTACCTATCTATTTTATTACTGTAGCAATCATGTCAAATATTGTCAATATAAGTATTGTTTTTTGGGTAAAAGGAAAGAGAGGTAATAGTGTTTTATTTTTTCTTTTAACTGAGCATCCATATCTGATATTATAATATGATAATTGTGGCTTTTATAATGTTAATTGAAATATCATAGTCGCTAGCCCCATTCAAGTGTTAAAATATAATGAGAAATTAATCAAACTCCTACGGAACAGTCTACTCCTTTTTAATTAATGATTTGTTTAGAAAGTTCAATATTCTTTTTTATTCTCAAACTTATCAAGCGTTTGTTCATGGAAGAGAGGAAAAATGAGTTAGGTAATTAATAGAAAGTTATGAAACGGGAACTTTCTTCGTATTGTTATTATTAATTTAACAAAGGTACTATTTATTATGTATATAATTTATTTGATGGAGATAATTATTAAAAGTTAAAATCAATGTTGCAAACATCAGCATAATAACTGTACTTATTATGCTGATGTTTGCAACATTGATTTTCACACTGAAACCAAAGTAGTCAAATATTCTTAATAAAAAATGCTTAAAAAAAACACTTTGCCCCTGGCATTCTGAGATGAGACTCGAACCCATGACCTTTTGCAATCCGGGCGACTGTTCTAATCACTGAGCTACTTATGAACTAACAGTTATCAACGGACAAACGGCTTAACGTGCCTTCCGAAGTACAAAGGAGTCTAAAGTGTTAGCTCGAGATAATAATACATTTTGTCGCCATCCTGTGACCAGCCCTTGCGAAAGTTGCTTAACAATCACATCGTAAACCGAGCATGCTGACCACTGCACCATTGAACATCGAGTTGTTAGATATATACTACAATTTCAGAGTTAAATTTAAAATCTCCTATTTCAATGTTATGACAATGATGTTATAATATATGAGACGTCAAGTTCTTTAACGGTAATGTTCCAATTAAAAATTGGTTATCGTGGACATTTTTAATTTAATGTTATTAATCTCTCGTTTAACGATTTTACGAAAGATGGCCTCAAGTAGTAACCTCATTATCGCAAAGAGGTAAATCGTTATTTTAGACATACATAATTCTAAGCAATATTATCTAGTACATAGTAACTTGTTTTATAGTAACATGGTTTTAGAGATATGTAATAGATCCTTAACGTGTAAATTACATAAATATATCAATACACAATCTTCAATTTAGAATCATCTCAACCTAATTTTTACATACCTATTTGTATTTACATTATGGATACAGCTTCTTTTAAATAGTAAAGGTAAGTTACCTAGTCTAAATAATTCTCCAGGTTATTAATATTCTGAAACAGAGAAACAATAATTTTACAATATTACATTACAAATATTTAAACTTTAAAAAAAAAAGTTTCTCACCCTTGTCAGTATTTCTAATATTGTGAAAACAACTATTTGTTCTCGTGATTGAATTCTCAAGACTCCCGCTAAGTAAACATGTGAATAAAATAATTCTTATTTCGCGGTGGTTCTTATGCATGACCGTTTGACGTGGAGACCCCTGCTTACGCCTTAGGTTAGTTGATTATTACATGAAGGCCCAGGTTTTACCAATGGTTCTCGATATTACTCGATGTCATATTTTATTGAGCATCTCTCTATGGATGTAACTTTATTTAATAGGACATTCGTAACCGAGTGATCCGCACGACAGTTTCATTGTGTCGCCATCTCTGAAGTCCTTGGTTCGATTCATCATTGGTCCTTAGATACACGAAGGCTTTAGAAACTTATCTTGGAATCTGAGTTATGTACTTATGTGACATTGTCTTATATTTATCTTTTATTTTAATTAGCCGACCTCCTCAGTGGCTTGCACGCCCGTTTCAAGATGAACTCGATTCCTGGTCTAGTCAATATAGAAAATGAACTATTATTTATTTTAACAGGTCTGGGCGTTGTGGTATTTTCATCATCATCATTTTTATTGATCTAATACACATTGTGCATGTAGAAACACATAAAAGCCTTATTTCCCAAAAATCAAAGTTTTTTTTTTTTTTTTCTAAGATCTAAAAGAGCCAAAAACATATAAGTTTAACCTATTTCGCAACAAATTCCAATTTCATTTAATTAAATAAAAACAAACGAGAAACGATAGTTATACTCCCTTCGTGCAAAATTTAATGTCATGCTTCTACAATAAAATTAAATGTACCGTATAAAATTGCTCTATTCCAGAGTATGTACCGACCCTATGTTTAATGCACCACTATTGCGGTACCATCCAATGGTTTACTTTTCTATCTCAGTGAACACAAAGGAGCTTTCTCATTTTTGTAAAGTTTAGACATCTCATAATTTATGATTACAAACTAAGGTAACAAACACATTTGTTTACTTGGAAAAGTTTTAAATAGAAGTTGCAGGAAAATGTTCAGCTTCAAAAATGATGTTTGTTACTAGAAAAGTATATAGTAGACTTGTAAAATCAAAATCAAAATCAAAATTATTTATTCAGTCTAGGCTGTTACAAGTACTTGTGAAAGTCGAGAGCTACGCCATCGGTTCGTAAATCTACGGCGGGAGACCTTGTACCGAGAAGAACCGGCAAGAAACTCGGCAAGGGCTGCTTTTTTCTCCCTGTTTTATTTCATACAGAGCGTCAAAATTGAAAAATGACTTCATTAAAATTTGAAGTCACTTTCCATTATAATATTACAATCCAATCACATTTGTAGCCAAAGAAGCTCACCGATTAACAATTTAATATATATGAAAAATGAGCCATATTTAACTCCAAGCAGTTTTGTCGTTTAAATATTCATTAATAGTATAATATCCTTTACTGAGTAGACAATTCTTAATATGGATTTTAAACTTAGGTAATGGTAAATTTAAAATTTCCATAGGAATTTTGTTATAGTAGTGTACACCTTGACCCATAAATGACGATAGAACCTTCTTTAGCCTGCATGACGGCAAAAATTTACAAAGTCGTTTATTTGACAAAGTCGTTTAAAACAAAATATGTACCAAATAAAAATAGCGTCAAACATAAAACCTCTTCGTTTTTCGAAGTAGGATAAAAATAAAACATTAAAGTCTTTATTGTGTACAAAACACAATTTCTTATTCAAAATTTAACTAAAAATATTTTACTTAGAAACACGCATCGTCTCGTTAGCTTTCTTTCCAAGAACTAACATTTCATATCTTTCAAAAGAATACTCTGAAGACTGACTCTAGACAATATTCTATTCTAGCAACATTGTCCGTATTATAAAATACCTAATCCTGTACATGCTCACAATAAGGAGAAAGCGTGTAATTGAATTTCTGGGGCGCTATGCGGCACGGTAGCCAGATAAGGGTCTGCCTTAATAATAAATTGCTCTTATGAGACATCACTTAAACCGAGAGCCATTGAAATTAAGAGGAAATAAAGAAAAATAACACCTGAGCATTTCGCCGTGAAGAAAATTACAAAACCAAAATAATCTTTATAATAATTTAAGAATCAATTCACGTAGACACTTTTTCTTGGAGTCCATTTTAAAATAAAAATTTCAATCTATTATATTACTGAAAGACACATAACACATTATCTTAAAAGATCTGAAACTACACTATAATAAAACTAAATAGTTTTTGACATAATTAATAAACATTTCAGTGCAAATACAATTATATCGTAACCAATATATTATGTATACTACAAAACAGCTGTTACAATAAAAACAATTACCTACATAATTCCTAGAAGAGAAATGTGGTTATTATATCTATGTTATTGGCCAATCTATAGCAAGAATTGATATCCCGTATATATCGTTCTGTAACGTGATTCGAATAAAATTTATTTCGGACAACTCTATTCGGGAACAAGGAAATGAAAAAAAAAATGAGGTACATTATCCAAAGACACGACGACGTCACTTGGAGCGGCACTGCTCCTGCATAATTTATTAAAATCTTATTAAAAAGTGCCGCCGAACAAAAAAGGAGAGACTGTCGGTATTGTAAAAGTCTCTATTAGGTCCTTTAACTTTTGAATTTTGTTGTATCCAGTTTTTTAATTAGGTGCCATCGCTTTTTTTCGTGAACAATTGTGAATTCTTATACAGGAGTGTTTTTGCGTCTCAAATGTTTTGTAAAATACATGTACCTATTACTAATCATGGCTTCTGATTCTTTTTTGAAAAATTTCTGAATCATTTCTCAAATTGGAGAGAAACTTTTAGTCTAAGAGGTCGTGGCAAAAATGTTCTGCAAAGAAAGCTATTGCACATTTTTGTCACGAGCTCTCAGTCTATTTTATTTTATGACGAACAAATACATTTGCGAGTGACTAAAAAACGCTTAAATTAAAATGGTTATCTTTATTAATTACGGTTATCTGGTAATTATGATTAAAGTTGAGCTTCAGTTAGAGGTTGGAGCTGCAGCGTCAAAATTAAAATACTAATATGAATAATCTGAGGGCACGGAAGTGTCCTCGCCAAGTCGAGCAAAAAGTGTATATATCTATATTAAAAAGGGTACGGCCCTGCCAGCCTTTTCTTGAAGCCATTTGGGCCATTTTTGACCCTCTGTAACTTCGTTATGGAGTAAATAACTAGGGGCCTAAATTTTAATTGACCAGGAGGGCATCACATGACGAGGCACGTTTTCACGACTGATTTTTATGAGATTCAAACGAGTGCTTTAAAAATTGTCGCAATTCAAAATACCTTAGTTTTGCCACTGTCAGATATATAATAGACCATCACAATTCTAAGGTTAATCTTGCAGACCCACCGGTTCCAAATTTTGAACACTGCTATTATTTTGCATACAAAGGAAGGAAAACATCTAATATTATGATAAATTTGTCCCTTTTATTACATTTTTGTATTATTTATAACTGCAGAGCATTGTGAAATGTTTTCACCGTCGATGTATTGTTTGGTAACCAAAGAGTAACTCAAACTAAAAAGAATTTTAACACTACGTGATAAAAACGGATACAAACATTTTTGAATGTGTAAATGAAAAATTCCTAAATCTAAAACAAGGTTGGATCGCTACTTTCACAGAAAGGTAGGTATTGAATTAATCGACTTGGTTAACGTTAATTTCATAACTTTTTACTACAGAAGAATTGCGTTCTAAGACTTGTACATTTTTTGTTTGCGTACTTGCGATTATTAATTTACTCAGTACCTATATAATATTTAGCCTTTCTCTAGAATATTACATGGTCTCCTTATACTTCTATGTCGCTGACACAATTATTTTTTCAAATTAATTGATTCAAAGTTCTGAAATGTTTTTGTGACAAAATTATTGCTACATTACGGAATTAGATTTGATATAATATCACAATTTTTTATGTTTACATTATACTTAAAATTATCTTAGAACTAATGAAATATATTATTTATATAAGTTAACCCAGAGTGATGGTATATCCAACCGTAGTGTGGTGCTACGTCGGTATATACTACGTAGTATCGTGGATCACATTCTGTATGACCTGGTGAGACACCGCACTTAGAGAGAACCCCTCGTAGGAACCAACTGATCTTGTGGTCGTTTTGCAGAACAGGAATGACTAGGCCACCACCACTGTCGCCGTTCCTTGGATTTGTACCTAATAAAGCAATATTTTGTCAATTTTTTATAATCATAGTCTAGTATATGAGCTTAGAAAGCATTGACGCATATTTTCCTACGATTGTTTTTGATAGTTGTTGTCTACGATTGCGGAGATTAATCAATATTCATAAAAAATAATTTAATAATGAGTATTCATTAAACAGTTCCTGGTAAATTAAAACACATCAATCCGCACTGGGTCTGGAAGGTGGATCGATCCCCTTATACTATAATGGTGATTACATTAAAAAATATGTTTAGAAACTGTTTAATAAAGTTAAGAGCGTTATTTGTCAAAATTGGTCTAGTCGTTTCAGAAATAAGACAAAACAAACAGACAAACAAAAAAATTAAACAAAAAAAATTTTTGTATATGTACCGTGTATACATACAAATGTATTTAGTGAAAAGCGGTTATTTTATTATTACAAATAGATACTCAAATTTTATTTATTTTTATAGAAGAAGGCATTACCTTACATTATTTTACATAAATATCGCTATGAAAATAAATAACTTCAAATATTATTGCCTAAATATGACGTGCTAAAATATTTACTATTAAAAATAGTAAAGAATAAGTCCCTAATTTAGCCTTATTATAAAAAAAAATAGTGGTGTAGTGTTAAAACTGAAATAAGCACTGTTCTATTTATAAATAGTGAAAGTATTTTTTTCTCTTTAAATCGTATACCAATTTTTCATGTAAATTGAAAGCACAAATCAAACCCTATTCGAAGGAGCCCACGTTTAGCTCTTAAGGATAACCTGGAAAATCTGAATTGATACCATTACATAAGATTCGCAAACTGATATATTACGCTTAGTTAATTATAAGTAGATCCATTCCAAAATAAGGGCTTTTAGGCACTATTTAATTAATTGGATTAAACTTGTTTTCTATAGTAGACGGCATGGGCTAGTTTACCAGTCTAGATGAACATAACATAGTTATTATATTCCTTGTCACTTTGAGAAATAATTTTGTATAGCCACTGTCATTGTGTGAATTGCAAATATAATACCTGAGGTTGGTCCATAGCCAGCACATATGGTGAATTCATTGATCAATTTGGTGTAAACTGCAGGAGAATAGTTAAGGCAGGTGGTGTCATTCTGTATCATGATAAATGCAGCTCGAAGTACGTCAGAAGGGTTATTATCATTGTCATGACCGAAACCAACCACCTAAAGAGAATAAAATGTTAGGAACTTAGAGGAGCTTGTTGGCGCAGTACGTTAATCTGTTGGTCCTGACTGCAATTGCAATCGTTAACCCACCATAGATCATGGCCCATTCTTCCCAATCGATTTAATTCAACTCCATTCATAGGGAATGCTTGTGTTCCAACGTTGGAGATATCAATAGGCTGGTTGTGATGAAAACTTAATATGTTATTCGATAATACATTTCTTGTAAATTGCAGGATAGGCAGCAGGTTTAATAAACTTTTTTTATTTTGAAATTGAAAGATTGGCGTGGACACTGCCAATTAAACATATACACATAGGTCTTGGGACCTAGTTGACTACCTTGGAGTACTTAATTTTATAATAGACCTTACCGTTGCAATTTGCCCAATTAAATCGTTCTTGCTATAAACAGGGCCCCATACACAGATGGGCTGAACGTATGCACTATATGTAAAGCTGTTCACTTTTATGATGGCTATGTCTGCTGTAGCTTGACTTGCATCGTAGCTGGGATGTAAAATTACATCGGTGGCCTGAAATTTACTAAATCTGTTTACGAAAACATACTCCAGACTCATTTTTTATTTTAATTCATATATCAAAATTTATGTCGGTCATTTTTGTAATAATAAAGTATAAACAATCTTCATCTAACATAATAAAAGTTAAAAAAAAAACAGATAATTACAACTGTGTATTCGATATTTCAATTTTTATATTCAAATTATACAATTTGCTAAATATTTAAGAACTCTTCATATTTAAAATATTTCTTTAAGATATAGATAGAGAAAACTCTCATTGTAGCTACAATATAACGGTTTTATTTTCTACGAAATAAATAAAATAAATGTATGCACCTTCAGAGTCTGTATTCCAGGTTGAATAAATGCTTTGTGATGGCTTGATCCAGCTATTACTGTGATTCTATATGGTTGTACCCTTATATTATCCTTAAAAACACAATGGCCAGCTGTAAAAATAAAAGATCATTATGGTACATTAATATTATTCTTTTTGAAAAAATATCATACACAAAGTTGCAAACGTAAATTTCTATAAGAAATCCAGAACTAGTTGTGCGACATTCATCCTCTACGGTTGGCTGTTAGGTGTTTGACTGTTGATAGAGTTATGTAAACGTTCAAACCTAGCCAACCCTTCAATACTTATACTACTGATATTATGGGGATTCAATATTATCATCACTTATTGTAAAGTCAATAGCTTAAACAACAAAAAATACTGACAAACTTCTTCACTCTATTTTAAGCCTTAATACATTGTGGGTAGAGGGTAAGATCCATTACAGAAATCTATTGTAGTAACCTTACGTTCAACAGTGTGTACTATAGTTACAGATTATCGGTTCACTATTGATAATATTGTAATACAAATAATTTTATAGATTTTCAAAGTCGATTATATACAAAGAATTCATTCATAAGTGAACAAAGAATTCATTCATACACATAAGTTGTGATTTTTTTGGTACCTGTAACAACAGCTGTCCTAGAGATAATATTTCCGCCACAGTAATATGACGTTTGATTAGATTCAGATTCTGTGATGAAGATAGCGACATGCCAGGGCCAGTCACCAGTCTTCGCGTCTGTCTGCATCGTCACTAGTTCAGTGTTACCAAGTGACCGCCGACCACATACGTGGGTTTGGTACTTATCGGATTCTTTAGTTAGATTTAAGGACTTCAAGGTTTGTGCAGCCTGTATGGAAGTTTTATTTAAATGGAAAATTATACCTATTATACATTTTAGATTTGTAATCATGTCAAAAGTTGATTTTAAACAATGACATTGTTTAGGTCACTAATAAAATAATCGATGGTTTTGGTGTGGAAAATATAAAATTTCCGAATTTCGAGCAGCAGTGATTGACAAAGAAACTTTAAAAGTTACTATTTCTTCGTATACATACATACTTTTATTTGATTTTCACATTTTTTTTTGTCACATAATGAAATTTATTTTCTTATAAAACTTATATACACACCTTTATGTCGTCATTACAAAGTGTGACGTTATTCAAACTGAATTTAGTGACAGTTGGTACATCACTATTATTTTGAGCCAAGAAGTCTACCGCCAAGAAAAATGTGTAAACCATAGGTGGATGTCCGTTAGGTTTAAAAATAAATTCTTGTGTGTCATCATTGAAGTATATAGAAGTATTCTGTGGTGCCTTAAAAAATATTAAAATTAAAATTAAATAAATATTTTAATTCTTCAGCTTAATATGTACATTAACATAAAATTGTGAATTCTTATTGAATTTATTAAGAGCTTTAATATCACATTTGTCGTGATAATCGTTGATTTTATTGGATATACAAATACGTTATCTGACTACTATCAATGTGTATACCAACAAACTCGTTAGTACACGAAACGAAAACGCAGTATTTACGAAATGTTATTCTAATTTTGTTAAAATCATACCCATGAAGATTATTTGTGCAGCAGAGGGAGTTTCGGGAACTATCTCCATCACATAGCAAGTTATTGAAAAATATATTTTCCTTAGCGTCGTATAAGGTCGTATAAGCGTTTCGAAAATTGTCGATTTTTAATTTTCAGAGATACATAATAGGCAGACATATGTCAATTTTATTAAAGCAATGAAACAAATGTTTAATATTTTTCAATCTTAAAACTTACCGCATAAATTCTTACTTTCTTCTCAAATTGTACCCCGATTTCCACCTCTAATAAGCTAGAGTAAAGTCCAAGATTGATCACACCACGCCACACTCTCTCCGTGAGCCTATCAAAATGTACTATTCCCAAACCACATGGATCATACCTAGCCAAAGCCCTTCCTTCGATTGCCATAGCTTTAACATTTATAAAACAAAAAGAGATCAGAATAAAAAAGTTCAAAATTGGCATATTTATTTAAATCCTACTATAACAGTACTAGTTGGAGCTATCAATATTACTACTCGTTATCTCAATAAAAAACGTATGAATGTATAAAATAAATATAATCAATCGTCACTACTTTAATAATCAGACTTGAATGTAAAGAGTGTTCTAAAATTAAACGAGCCTTATGCAACACAACTTGAACAAATGTTACGGTGAATCAAATCGCAACGCTTTTAAGTGAAAGTTTTCTGTGATTCACTTTCAAACAATGTATTATGTCAAACGAATTTTCTTTGTTATACATATTAATTGAAATAGGGTTAGTGTTACTTATATGATTAATTATACTGTAACTACACAGATTTTACCTATCATACATAAAACATATGCGACATATAAACATTGAGTAAACAAGTTTATCGAACTATTAACGAAATATGAAATATTAATACAATTACAATAGTAGTGATCGCCAATTAAGAAGCAATAAAGGTTCAACTGTACTTAAATTATTGTTTGCCCTCATTGATTAAATAAGTATTACTTTAACATCACGTCGTATATAGATTATTGAAACCAGATGCTTTATGACCGTCAATACGACCTGTGGCCCCAATGATACTATGTAATCATATTTTTATATCTTGTATAAAATTTATTAAGAATTTCCACTAACTCATTATTTTTGTTTTTATTAATACAACAGTAATCAAGGCCGTGAAGTATTGTGTAAACACAATACAGCTGTGATGCGAAGATGAATTGCGAGATGAAATGACGTTTTGTTCTCGTAGTTTTTCAAGGTGTGACATCGTTTTCTCTTGTGAATGTGTCCGTAAATTTAAACAATTATATTTCTCTGGACAAATATAATATTTTAAATACTTTCTTAGTACTTTTTATATTTCATAGAATCCACCACCACCAGCCCTTTTACGTTAAGGAGGATGGGCTGTGACCCTCCACGCTGGCCCAATGCGGATTGGAGGGTATTGACGACTGCAAATGCAGCCGGGACCAACGGCTTAACGTGCCTTCCGAAGCACGGAGTAGCTCGAGATAATAATTTTTTTGGTCACCCATCCCGTGAGCGACCCTTGCGAAAGTTGCTTAACGACTACGATCGCCGACCGCGGCGCTTATCCACTACGCCACCGAGCTACTCTAATGGAATGTATGACAAAATTTATGATATTATTATTCAACGAAAAATATTTAATACGTATTTTTTTATTTTTTTCGTAATCATAAAATTACGGCGTTACATCGAGTTGAAATTTCGCATGACGTCACGTTATGGTACGTTTTCTATAAAACTGTGACGTAGCGAGCCCCCACTCAACTCATCTTTAATGCCTGTTATCTAAGCTATTTTTCGTTAAATTGAAGTAAAAAAAAATACGAATCTAATATTTTTCTATTATCTGACTGACGGACTAAATAGAATTTCATTTTTTTACCCAGTCGTCATCCCTATTGATTAATAAAGCAAATAAATATCGTAAGAGTTTAAGTAAGAATATTGAAACATGTCTCCTTCCAAAGACAATACGATACAATCGGCAGCAGCAGGCTCTACATTTGGTGTGAACATAATCTTGATCATCGAAAGAGATTCAAAATAAATACTTCTAATACAAAATCAACTGCAAGTTCTTTGTCATTTGCAATTCAAAATCCTAACATTAACACAACAGTTAAAATGGAAATATATAGCTTAGGGTTTCTTAGTAAAGATACATTTGCAACTACGATTCTTAGAATAGTGCTAACTGCTTACCCATGCAAATACGTTGTATTCAGTAGCTTTTACCTTTATTGCAGGCCAAATTTATGCCGACAGTATAGAATTCCATGTATTCATTACTTAGATCGAAGTTATTTACTTAAAATGTAAAGAGCATTAGACGCAAAAGAGTGTTTTTTTGATAACACTCAACCCTTTGGAGTAACTTAATGAATTGGGGCTCGGTTCATTTTAAACTAGCTGTTGTTGTTCCCGTGACGTTCGAAAGATCCTATTCGGTGCAAACAAGCAGTCAATTAATCTTTCCTCTCTATAATATTAGTGTAAATAGTTATCAGCTGAACTGTTCCTCGGAAGGTACACACCTCAGTGTGAACCTTGCAGGTACGCTATATCTTTAAAAAGGTAATAATTGGCAGCAATCAATTATTACCTTTTTAAAGACCACAACCAACCTAACAACCACAAGGATCGCGTTTTAAAGATTTTCCTGTTTTTGTTTGAAGTGTGTTTTAGTTACTTCCAAATTAGTTAAACAAAATACGAGTAGTCAAACAATATCTTGGAAATTCATAAACTCTGGATGCACTGAACATTAACGAATAGATAAGCTGGATTCGTGAGCAAAGTTAACTTGAGAAATTCAAACTTTGCCGTTGGATAACTGTTATCTACATCGATAGTGATCACTGTAAATTCTTAATTTATTTTACTAGTGAAGTTCTTAATTTTCTTCTTTTCTGGGATGCAGTAGCCGTATGTAATAATTCTATATATCGATAGTTTTTGCACAATCCTATGTTTTCCAATAAACATCGTTCCGTTGATATCGTTAGTACATCGGCAAATCCATACAATCCATCATACACCGCGCGTCCATTCCGTGTGTACGAACAGTGGACTTTCATCTTTAGCAATCACTTGACAGTTTTGCATAACGCTGCAATGTGTAATGTAGAAGCTCTTGGAAGTCATCCGTATGACGTCATCGACACGCATCGCGTTCTCTTTGGTCATAAAATGAATGCGGTCGGTACAACCGGTACAGATAGTGGACGGCATACTATCTTAATTCATACGAAGCTACGAAAAATCCGTTGCGTACCGTAATTACGTGCGTGTAGATGTAGTGGACGTTGACCTGAAGGCTTCTTTTCCCTTAAAAAAAAAAGAAGACTGTAAACTATTTGAATAATGAAAAAGAATAACTAATCACTCACAATGATGAGAAAAATCAACATATGTGTTAGGTATACTACTAAAATTATTCATTTACGCTCAGCAAACATTACTGGAAGGAGACTTCTAACCCGCCCTTGATTTCTGTTTGCAAAATTGCCAAAATATCCCGGAGGGTTTTCCCATAAGGGCTTGAAAGTCAAAAGCATACCTGACGTGCCAATTCAAGGGTGAAATTAACACAATACTTTTAAGGATTGCAAAACTCGACGGAATTTTTACTTACACAATGCTTTTGATAACCCTGTGGTAAGCATGAAAGAAAAAACATAAAACAAGCGGTAATAAACCAAATAGGAAGCACACACAGACAGCACACAGGAAATGAATCGCCTTAAATTATTTTTCGTTGCAAATCGTATCCAATATGAATATAATTATCTTGGGTCCAATATCAATTTAATGATTCCTTTCTTACTAATTAATATTACGCTATTACGCCATTATGCACAGATTTTTAATCAACGTTAAAATAATATAATATTAACACACAAATAATAACATTTATGCAAAGACTTGGAATTAGTAATTTATTGTAGTAATATTCATATACTGTTAATTTTTTCCTAATTCATATATCATCTGTCTAAAATTGATGTAAAGTGTAGAGAATGTCCTTATGTTGCGGTGTATTATTGAAACTTTAATAAAGTTTATTACAGAAATTTGGTTTTTTCTGGTAATCTGATATGCGATTATGTGTACCAAGTTAATGTTAATGAATAATTATGGCTTTGATAATATATAGGCATATTAGCTTTAACAACAGAGCTATAATATCCATTTACATCTTAAGTTATTAATCACAATGGCCATTTTGCTAGGCATAATAGTAGTTATGAAGTTTAATCAATAAAAATCATAGCTGTATAGATGATCTTAATGCTTAGACTATATATTAGGGATGTAAAGGAGCTCCGTAATCGTACCCGAAACTAACAGACATCCGAAACGAAAGTATCGGATAATTTCCGATAAAGGCCTTGTCTACATGACATATGAGTTTTCTTTCTACCCGGCAAAATATAGGTGCCAACTGATTCTAATTAATTGTGCTGATATACCAATAAACTTATTGATTCATATTTCTCTTTGAAGTTATATCCTTTGTCTGATTTATGGTGTACAATTAAGTATTCATTAATTCATGCTCTATTTAAATAAAAAATATTTAATGTTTTTCAGTACCTAATAAATCTGACATTTTGTAAAGATTTTGTTTATACATCAAAATTAAAAACTATTTAACTTAATATGATGGAAGTATCAATTATAATTCCTCTAAAAATGAAATGTAGTTATTATCTATTTTTATTCTGCTTTTAAAATTGTACAAATATCTAGTGTCCGTAACTAAAATTATCCGAAATTACCGGATAAAACGAAAAGAAATCATATCCGTAACCGTAACCGAAATAACATATCCGTAACATGCTGCCATATATGGATATATACATATATAATTCTATATATACAAGCTGTAACCCACAACTTCGCCCACGTGGTGCGAGGGTACTGTGTGCACAGTCGCCTGCTATACTGGAGTCTTAAGCTAATCTTAATTAAAAATCTGGCAGTAAATATCCACCTTTATATCATCATCATTAGCTTATCAACGTCCCCACTGCTGGGGCATAGGCCAGCCCAATAGATGGATGATTTTCCATTGGGCCAATTATGGAAAATACCGGTGTATAGAATAGTCCAGCTGCTCTTGTTTCTATTTTCGTGCGTAGTAAAATCCACACACATTTGCAAAAAATACATAAAAAAATCTTTGAGATAGTGGTCTTTTATTGAAGTCTTATTCTACGCCTGATCCTCACAGCAACTTGATCAGCTTGTTCTTGCTTTTTCAATTCAGCATTTTAAGAGATTTTAGTGATGTATATTTTGCCAATAGATAAATCTATCATCTCTTCAATTTGCACATATCCAACGTATTTAATTTCATCTACTTAGTATTTTTCACCCAATTTATTATTTGACTCTAATAATTTGAATTTTAGTTGCTATTTTAGATAAAACTGTTTTCTGCCATTAAATTAAATTAAAAATATTAAACAACATCACATATATTGCTCAAATTCAAGATAAGTAGTTAAAGCCCCTGTATTATGGAGTGTCTGAAATAACGAAGGGACCACCGCACCACGAGACAATATAGAAACGTTCATTTTCTACATTGACTCGACCGGAAATCGAACCCAG